CAGATATTTATATTAGGTAGATAAGTATATGGTGTTTTTACATCCAGGTATAACATGATGCTACCTCTGAGCAGAGATTTACTTGGTCTGTAGCCATGGCTACCACTGAGCAATAAAATAAACTGGTAGCCAGGTCTATGGTAAAGATAATGGTTCTATGAACACGCTTATAGAAAGAAGTAGGGGAGCTTGACCTGGAATTCCTGCTATGACTCCTTCCTGCCCCTCCCTTCCAGCTGCAAATGGTCTTGAGAGATGCTTAAGGAAACAGGAAGCGGAAATCAACTGACAGGAGATTCTAGGTTATGGCTTCCCTGAGGTTGTCATTCATTATGGGGTGGGACTTTGCAGTGATGCAGCTCTGCTGGGGTCACCCTCACTCTTCTGAGGTCATTGGTGCTCTTACAAGCTTAACCTTAGTTGTCATGTGTGTTTATGTATGTATGTGTATACATGTTGGTGTGAGTACACATGTGTGTGCATGCATATAGGGGTCAGGTGTCAACCTTGGGTGACATTCTTCAGGAACTATCTACCTTGTGTTTAGACACAGGGTCTCTCAATGGCTTAGAATTTGCGAAATAAGTTAGACTGGCTGGCCAGAGAGCCCCAGGAAGCCTCCTGTCTCTACCTCCCTAGAGCTGGGATTGCCAGAGCATGCTACCATATCTAGCTTTCCTACAGGGGCCTGGAGATTGAACTCAGGTCCTCATACTTGCATAGAGAGCGTTTTTACCAATTGAGTCATCTCCCTGGTCCCATAAACTTGGTTTCCTTCCAATCCAATTCTGCTACTAGAATACACAACAATCAGTGGGAAGCAATTGGCCACTGAGCTCCTGTCACTGACTCTGCCATCTCCACCACCAATCTTCTCTATACTGCCAACAATAACATCTCCAGTTGTATGAAGCATTTTCTTCTTCTGTGGGGCAAGACTGATAGTAGAAATGTCTATGTCCTATTTGCTCAATCTGTCTGCAACTTCCTTTGGTTCAGGCTGTAAGAATTTAGGATCTTCTCTTTTCTGTGTGTACATCTTTGACCACGGGAAGCCTGCTGCACCCCCACCCCCTTAGCAGTTCCTTTCTCTCTCCTCCTGTCCAGCCCAGGCCCAGGGAGATCTATGAGAGAATATCACAGGAAATGAGGCGAGAACAAATAGTAGAGAGATGTGCTCACAAACAGCAATTAAGACTTCAAACTCTTCTTTAAAGGCTGTGATTTAGCTGGAGAGATTTAAAAATGATTTAATCAAATTACTATGATAATTTAACTTCCCATTTACAGAAAAGATTCTAACTCATTTTAGCTTTACCCATTCTTGGATCTGCTAATACTTTAAATGCAAACTCACTAAATCTGAAGTATTTAATTAGACCATGATTCAGCTGGCAGACTGCTGAAGAAAATATTAATCTCCATTAGGGATCCCAGTTCAAGTTCAGGCTCTGTGGCTTTAATCTGTTCTGTTCTTTGTGCTAAATTTACATGTTGATGCTAGGCTCAATATCATAGGTTTTCATTTATGCAATTATTTAGCTTTGGTTGTTAGTACTGGTTCCTCTTTAACTAAGCAAAGGAAATAATGCCCACATCCAGGCTAATGGAAACCAGGTAAACACAGTAACAGAGAGCAGTCATTTATGAATTCATTTGAGCAGGTGAGGCTGCAAAGAATACCATGGTGGCAGCAGTTAAGGAACTCAGATATGTGAACCAAAGCCCAGAACGACAAAATCAGAATACTGGGGCTGGCTCTAGGGCCTTTCAATAAATCTAGTTTGAAGGCTGTTGAACAGGATAATATAACGTATACAAACACTATTCATAAGAATCAAGATCACAAGAAGACACAAGCTGATGCTGTGCTCCAAGTTTCAACCCTTGTTAACCAAATAGAATGCTATCACACATTTTGGTACCCCACCTTGAATGGAACCTTAAAGGAATGCCTAATTCCCATCTCTGACTTTGAGAACAGAGCTCAATACATTCATTTCTATGGCTGCAACCATCACTGAGTCTCCTAGCCATCAGGAAGGGACTGAACATTAGGAATATTCAAGTGTGTTCAGAGTTAAGTCTAGCAGGTAATAGAAACCAACGTGCATAGTAACCTGCTCTGGAGCAGGCAGAGACTTTCTTTGGGGTCTGTAAACTGACAACATGATCGGCAAGGGATGGAGCTCAGTGGGTGAATGTTCTCCTAACATACAAGAAGCCCTGGGCCAGTGCCCAAAACAACAGCAGCAACAGCAACAAAATGCAGACTTGTAAGAGGTAATGTGACCCCCCCTGCAATTCTTTAAGGAATTAAATAGAATAGACTGAAAACAAAACCAAACCAGAGGTGAACAGAGGTCCATTTCCTAAAGGAGAACTGATGTTTCTAAAGCTCTGGACATACTATATATAAGGGGCTTAGAGTGACCCCTGTGAGCAGCACCCAGCCTGGGACATTGGTTGACTGCCTGGCAGATGGGTTCTTGATTGACACAGATAGATGCACTGAAAGTTAAAAGAATAAAAGGTATGGATCATAAAGTATTAGTTAAAAATATTTAGATATGATGCTAGGGAGACAGCAGTGGAGGCAGCAAGCATATTAATGTCTCAGGTCTGCGTATGCAGAAATAAATCAAGAGAAAAATGAAAAGCAGGAGGAATCGGATGGCAGAACGAAAATGTGTGGACATTCTAGACATGGGTGGGTGACACAGTTTTCCCCAGTCACTCACTCTCTTTCTCTCCCTATGTGCCCCCTCACCACCACCCGCATACACACGCTCAATTAGGTTTATACATCAGTATTCTTAACTATACCCAAGGAATTTTCTAGAAGACTAGTTGACCCTAAATGTATCCCTGGC